GGTGCACCACTTCTTTATATAAATCTGACATGTTCGTTAGTATTTGGTCCAAAACTCTGGTGCCTCTTGTCGGTGCTTTTACAGACTTCTTCAAGTTAAATCTTCTGCATAGTCTACTCAGCTTCATTTGATTGAAGTCTCCCATAAGAGACCAATGTCAGATGTGTTGTTAACCCATGTACTGACAGTACTCTGCCACTAACAAGTAAAATTGTCTGGCGTTACAGTGTAAACTGGTCTGGCGTTAGCCAGAGTTAATACTAAATGAATTGTCAGCAAAAAAATGCATTGTCAGCTAATAGATTAATAAACCTTAATGTCCACTGCTGACCCAATGGCTTCATGTTCATGTTGGCTATTTACTCGTATTCCGTGCACACAATTTAAGAATGAGTTTGTGAACGGGCTTAAATGATAAACGAGAAGGAAACATTGGGGATAATATAACCGAGAATTGTCTAGAAGTATAAATTTTTGCATTCGGTTCATACGCCATAAAGGCAGCACTTTCCTTGCGATAGTAACTCCTAGTAGAAGATTTGCACCATTACGTCTCCCGAAAAGGTCTTTTATTTTTTTTTTAAAAAGTCCATAAAATTTGCTTGCGGTTTAAGATTTGTATTCCTGCCTTTTGCACCATAGCACGTATCTCGTTATTTTCAGGCCAGTGTGAACGCCTGAGCAGGCGTCTTGTTCATGATATAAATTTGCATGCTTGCACAATTTCTTTAACCCATTGAGTGGCAGCACTCTCCCCCTGTATGTACCACAGAATACCACACAAATTTACATGTTCCATATCTTTTGTCAAATTCATATAACATAGCCTGTTAAATATTTTTTAGTATAGTTTTTCATTATTTTTTCTTCCTCCATTATTTTCTTTCTCCATTATTTCTTTCAACAAATGTTGCGTTCTTCTTATGCTTACGTTTATGCACATCAAAGGTTCCGCTGCTTGTGCTTATGCTTAGGGTGCAAAATCGTTCGAAAATTGTAGCCTGTATTTCTAGCTTGTATGCAAAGAATAGAAATTATATTATTTAAACAATGGGTGTAAACAAAAACTGCAAAACTGTCGATGCCCTTTAGTTGCATACATATTAAATGGATGGCTACTGTACATGGTATGGTATATGTAGGTCAGGTATTGTGATAATACTTCACCCAGGGTTCGAATTAGACTTGTTAGAGTGGTTAAGATACCCCGGTTTCGGTGTACGGGTAGCAAATTTTGGTTAATGCCTAATGGTTAGCAATATTTTCATCGATGTCTGTAGCTTTACTCGTAATTAAGGTGCACATTTTTCGCATATATCAGAAAACAGAAAAAGTATGATCGAATTACAGACATCAGTAAAACAAGATGACACTACTGACGTACCCGTACACCGAAACCGGGGTATCTTAACCTCTCTAAATAGACAGGAAAAATCTTTTAGACAGGAAAAATCGATTCGCAAATTTCCTTTTTGAAAATTTGAAAGAAATTTTAGTTTTGAGAAGTGGAGACACTGATATTCTTCATTTCACAGTTCACACATCTTTACAAAATTACAATTATAATAGTCAGCAAAATACTCTATATCTCCCATTATAATAAAATACATTCGAAATGATTGTGAAAATCAACCTTTTATGTAAACCTTAATACATTGTTTTTGCAAAACATCATTCGCAAAATGGATGATTTTGCGTTCGCAAAAAGCAAATTTTACATTCGCAAATTGCGAATAGCCGGCAAGCCGCTAATTCGAACCCTGTCACCATGTATGTAATGTCACCATGAGTGTAAATCAGTGGCTGATACTGGACACATGATTTTAGGATTGTGCCTCACATGTCACAGGCTAGGTATTGTGCATGTAGGGGAGAAAACTCAGAAAATAGATTGTACATGCTAAACCAGAACATAAAACATCCAGAATTAAATAATGTTTCTGTATTGTTTCTGTCTGTTAGATTGTCGAATGTTTGTATCGTACTTTGGGGCATTATTTAATACCAAGCTGTCCTTTGCAATATCAAGTTGGTGCAATATATTGTCTTTACTCAATCTATCACACTCAGGATGTGACACCCAAAGTCAAGGTAATGTATAGAATCATTGCGACTATATGATCTGTTTTGCGGAAATAACTCAATAAGCGAATCCACATTTGTCCTCTCGAAAAGCTGATTCAAAGAAACATAAAAAAACAGTAGTTTCATACACTTACCGTAAATTATCTGCCTCATACCCAGGCGTACCCAGGCATCCAGACCTCTCGACTCTCACGCATTCGGCGTGAGTCTCACGCAATTCACTCTCACGCTCTCACGCCACGTTTAGTAAATCTCACGCATATTGCAGTTTCATAGTATTTTTTTCAATAATATAATATTGACTTATTGTATTCTTAAATGCACATTATTAATCATTATATATACGGATCGCGAGTCGAATATATAATCGCGTGTTCTTGTTCCTGCATACAAAATAGTACGCATATGTATAAAATATGGCGGACAAAAGGCAGAATCAGAATTCTATATGTAAATTATCAAAGGCAAATTAAAGCTGATTACTGCATGTATGTCACAGAAATACAGTTATTGTAACTAAAATGCCTTGTCTTAAAGGACGTTATGAAGCAATGTATTTCATTAAAAAACACCAACTCTCATATTGTACGAAATGCCATTTCAGACCCCCGGACGTTTACAAAGGTGCATGTCATCCACATCCCCAATCTCACTATTAACTTCTCTGCAAAGTTGAGAGGTCTGGGCATCGCGCATATGATGAGCTTACATGAAGTATTGTAATGATGAGAGAAGGCAAAAGGACTGATGGGAAGAGCACACTTGGAATTTGCACATCGCCTGCCTGTCTAAATACTTCATGTATTCCAGCGCCTGGGTACGAGGCAGGTAAATGATCTTACAAACACCCAGGGCGTTTATTTATATTCATTCAATTTCATGTTCCCAAATCGTTTAAATTAAGCTAATAATAAGCATTTGAATACCGGAAAACCCGAAGAAAACCCTCGAAGCACAGAAGTGAACAAACCAAACTCTACTTACCAGATGAGTTTTCAAGTACAAGTTAGCAACCTATATGTAAATCCCCTGTCCTACAGTACCAGGGGCCGGTTGTATAAAACTCTTAATCACTTTTTAATCACTATTTGGTAGTTAAATAGTGATTAACTCTCAAATACGCGCTTCTTATTGGATGACGTTTCCACTAACTATAGTTAACTTTAATCACTTTTTTATACAACCGGCCCCAGGTCGGCATGAGACAACATGCTACCACATCTCTCACTTGTACTCTCCCATTCTAAAACATTTTTTAGATAAGAATGACATTATCAATGTGGAATGATTTAATGAATCTGCAAGAAAATGTTAAGGAGCAGAAGGTATAAGATCCTTGCATATATTTAATCAGTTAAAAACAGGGGATCTTATAGTTATAACTAGGTTACACGTGCCATTTTTTCTCGCACCGACAACGCAATGCCAATGGGTCAAGTTCCATTAACTCGACAAGTAGCCTGTGTTTATGGACTACCGTAGACTAAGCTGGACTAGTAAAAGATATATCTGCAAGTTTAACTGATGTATCGACTAGAGGTGTGTATCGGATCGGATTGGACGTTTATAATCCGACAATTGCCTAATGTTTAAAATCCGCTCCGAAATCGTCTAATCCGAATCCAATCCGAGTTTTGAAAAAGAATTCCAATCCGATCCGATGAATTCTTTAATAAAATAAATTTCTCATTCAAGTTGAAATATTTAACCAAATAAATATAAAAGCAAGAAATACATGTCAAGAAGCTGACAAAGTGACGTCCAATTGAAGTATCAAACGAATAATGCAGCGACAACCGCGATGATGCTTTGATAAATGCATGGATAATTAATTCTTGCGATAATGCGTGGATAATTAATTCATTTTATTTCGGATATCGAGGTCCGATCCGATCCGACTGCGAAACAACTTTATCAATCCGATCCGAAATGAATATTTTGGTTCCGAAATCCGAACGAATCCAATCGGTTTCGGATCGGATTTGCATACCTCTAGTATCGACAGTAGTATGTAAAGTTTACACACTACTGTCGTCTGTCGATACATCAGTTTATTGCTAAAACGTTTAAAATTCATGCGGTTTTAAACGCATATAATAGGAATTTAGGATCTTATATAATTATATTGACAACATAATATTTTTGTTTCTATCGATCAGATCACACTCACAGTGATCAGACTTTTAAACTTGTGTCTAAAACTAAGACCGCTAAATTGAATAAATCATGAATTTAGCCTCGATTTGGAAAACTCTGGCTTTGCACTTGGTCGGCAACGCGATTAAATTTGACCTGTTGCATGCATTGCTCGCGCGAGAAAAAAGTCGCACTCGGCGATTCCACGTAACAGATTTTAAATTATATATGTTCAATAAATAAGAAACCGTTTATCATGCAGGTGACAGCAGGTCTTTCACATGTAAGGCCCGTTTCATACGCCGTACTTCACATGTGCCGAATACATTGAAGACAATAGATAATGAGCTGAAATGCCTCATTATCTATTGTTTGTAATGTATTCGGCACATGTGAAGTACGGCGTATGAAACGGGCCTAAAGCACTCAGCTACAGTATACCGACTCGTTTTTCTGATAAACATTGTTGCCTAGCTATTTAAATTTCATCTGTTTCGTGCAGGGCCCCTTTATTAAACTGTATATAGCTGAATGGGCTACTTTGCCTAAGTACGAAAGTGAAATACTGCTTCAAAAATAAAACCCAACTCAACTTCACGACTCGTATATTTATTTTCTTGTGTAGCATTACGATGTTTACTACGTGATATCTTCATTAAGAGCAGACAAAGCCTTTCTATTTGTGGCAACGCCAATTCAGGTACTTCTAGTTCTCTATCACTTCACACCAATTTGTAATTTGCATGGTGTTTTCCTCGATAATGTTTTGATCTGAAACTGATCCCAAGAAAATTTCAATTAAGATCTGAAAATAACTCAAGAAATTCCAACTGCGAACTGAGACCTATAGGCTTTGGTTAAAATGCCAAGGTTGCCAACACCTATATTATCAACGTGCTTGGTTACTTTCCAATGGTTAATTTCCAAGGACTTGTATTATAATATTTGATGAATGTCAGGGATGCATACAGATTGGCACAAACCAAAACAAATTAATTTCCAAGAATTATAGCAGTTTTTTGTGTCCAAATTTTTTGCAGCTGAGAAATTTTATAAGCAGGTTTTTCAACCGTGCCCTGATACCCTATATAGACAAAGATGGATATTATATATAGGCAGGATTTATGTATTTTTGTGGAAGTGGCTTTATCGATTGTGGTGTTCTGGTTTTCTTTATTAGCTTGCGTGTGGGTCACGTGACACGATATCCCAGTATGAAAGAGAGGTTACGAAAGAATCCAAATCAAGTAATACTGTAAAAAATGCACAGGAAATTATACAAGTATGTCTATGTAGTTGCTTGTGCATGTTGATATATAGCATACAGTGTACACCGATAAATATCTTAAACGTGTGGGTCCAGTCTATCATGGTTTTGGTTGGAACTATACCTGAAAACGATTGAAAGCACTTCGATCAGAAGTTACATAGTAGCTCTGCGATTGATCAGGGGTCTGCTGTACGAAGGCCGGATAGCGCTTCATATCTTTTGGATAGTGATTGTTTCAACTGTTGTAAAATTGCTTGAAAAGTTATAAAACTACGGATATGGACCTCACTATTAATAAAACGAAGCTTTAACTTATAAATACTAAAGATTAATCCGGGTTATACCAATCAAAGAACAAGTTTAGAAAGGTTGACCGGCCTCCGTACAACCAGCTGATCTCTATAATTCATCCGATCCCGTGTGAGCCTGGGACTGTGTGCTTTAAACCATATACAGTATGCATGCATGTTTATACTATATTTTTGTTGTGTTAGAAAGTGAATGAAATTGATGATTTGTATAACTCGGCAAAGATGAAAATGTGCTCACCTGATGAAGGTGAACCATTGATAGATCCTGTCACATTGAGGGTCGCCTCCAATGTTCTGGTCTCAAATTTAGAACGGTATGTTACCGCATGCCTTGTTAACCATTTTGTGATCACAATCATTGTTACAATTAAGCAAGCAGTCAACCAACGTGTCGTAATACAGATATAAGAGATAAAATATGTAGTATATTCTTTACATCAAACTATATTAATTAGGAATCAGCTCTGGGAAAACTTGGAAACATTCTTGCGAAAACATTGTTTTCCAATGTCCCGAGGTTACGTTAGTATGGGCAGTTTAGGGGTTTTTGTATGGCATCTCGATCACAAAATTATTCTGAAAAGTAAATTTTCAAGCACAGCAGGGCTGTTTTTTTAAAATAAATGCGTACAAAAAGCAATTGAAAAGGTTTAGGTTTGAAAAGCAATTGAATTCATGGGGTGCAAATTTAGAAGGTGTTTTATGAACTATCAAAGTACCAGACAATTTGATGTACATTAAATCCAACGCGCGACCTCTAAAACTTGGACTTGTTTGCCATAGTAGCTTTTCACACATAACTTTAAACTATTATGGCAAAAAGGGTTTTATGTCGCGCCTGGGACTTAGTGCACATCAAATTACCTGGTACTTTGATAGTTCATAAAACACCTTCCAAATTTGCGCCCCATGAATTTAAATTGCACATTAAACCTTCCATTTTTTGTGCACAAGTCATCTTGAAATTGGTTTTGGAAAACAGCCTTGCTGCACTTGAAAATTTACTTTTCAGAATAATTTGGTGATAGAGATACCAGAAAACGCCAAACTATACCAATACAAACATAAAGTTGCCACAAATGGTGCGGAATAGGCAATTCCAGCTTTTAGTTTATGCGTGCAAGGGATGATGGGAAGTAAGGTATCACATTGCTGATTATGCTGAAAAAATAAAAATGCATGGTGGCCGTGTAAACACGGAGTGATAGCTTATACTTGTAAATATTGAAATATTCAGGTTGTTTCGGCGTTTTATTGAAATTTTTCAGCATAATCAGCAATATGATACCTTACTTCCCATCATCCCCTGCACGCATAAACTAAAAGCTGGAATTGCCTATTTTCATGTTTAGTTTAGAACAGTGTATTTTTTTACACAGTAAGACCCTGCGTATGAGAACCTAGATTTTAAGAACCTGTTTAAGAACCTGTAAAATTGCTTATTTAGACCCCCTTTAAATAAGAACCTGTTTAGGCTAAAAATTATAAATCAAAGTAAATAAACTCTTCATAAAGTAATGAAAATGACCCAGAAGTCAGAGTCCTGGATATGTCATAACAATAAACAGCATGTCTGTTTGAACACATCAACAAAAAAATAACTGTACCTACACCAACCGAAATTGAGTCGCTTTTTCTTTAGAAAATAAGAACCTATATTTAAGAACCTGTTTAGCCTAATTTCACGATAAGCATGTACCATTTATATAAGAACTTGTTTAGGCTAACTTGAAAAATCTAGGTTCTTATAACGCGGGGTCTTACTGTACATCCTGTAGTTCGCCCATGGAAGGCTTGATGCAGCAGCTAATGCAGCTTCCGTACATTTCAATGCGATCAAATAATCAATTGTAAAAAAAAAAGCAAAGAAAACAGCGTATATTCGTACTGATACCTTGATTTTACCTAGATCATGAGATATCTATGACCTAAATACACTGTAAATCTACTGCAGATTTACACCAAGTTGCAAGGTGCTGTAAAGCAGCTTTACATCAAAGCAGTGTAAAAAAACACCTTTAAAAGTGTTAGGGACCGGTCATTAAATATGGCAAGGGGGGGGGGATGGAGGAGAAAGTAGGGGGTCCTGAATTATTCTTTCATTGAGATGGGGGGGGGGGTCTTGAAAATTACATTATGTGTAAGGGGGAGGTCTTCGGATTTTTCCCAACAAAAGGATTGTTTCTCGTTATATACTATGAACAGCCAAAAGAGATGCATAAAATGCCCTTTAAACTGGAACACTGGGTATTAACATAACGAGTAAAGAATAAAAAACATAATATAAAATAGAATTATTCAAATGTTTATCAATCATTAGTATTATACCTCATTAATTAACTTGATATTATACTTGATATTGGGTACGTATATAGTGTTCAGTGGATGTAGGCGAGACAAGCATAGGCCATAGAGTAAACTACCTAAATAGATTGTAAAATATTTATTTAACTAGTTTCATCAAATTTTATACCTCTTTTAATACTCTTCATTGATCACTTGCTCTCCTAAGCTTTGTCCTAATCGGGCCAGCCATCAATACAAAACTATATTTTCAAGCGGTACAAGAGGGGGGGTCTTTAAAAAGTATAAAATGCATAAGGGGAGGCCTTGAAAAGGCATATAATTTTTGAGGGGTGTCCCAAATTTTTTTTAAAAATTTCAAAGTTTCTCCTCCATCCCCTTGCCATATTTAATGACCGGTCTCTTACGCTCATGGTGTAAATTAACGAAGAATCTCACAACGAAGCATGAAAACAAAGTCTTGAGAAAAAGTTAGTTTTAGGATATCTTCCGTTCAAGGCAAGTATATTTTTAAAAACATTTTCGCAACATATCGGCACTTGGCAAAAAATTGAGTAAATTTGCTCACAAATTGAGTCGTTGTGGGCGCATTATTTTACTCAAGTTTTTGAGTCAAAATACTCAGGGATTTTTTGCAATACATTATACTAATACTGTCATAATTTTTTTTCTTGAAGAGATGTTAAAAATTTTGAAACATGGAAGAAAACCAGTAAGGTATAATATATAGTGGCATCACCGCTTTTAGATCATAATAATTATTAAATGCAGACAGCTTTAGTGATATGATAATTTACAATATAGCATTTGTAAATTTTGAACGCTGATTGGCTGAGAGCCGTGTTGATATAACTCAATGTCAACATGGAAAATTTCTTTCTTTATATTTCTTCGTGCTATATTATAAAAAAATATAAAACATTTTTTCCGTATTGATATACAGTTATATCAACACTCTCGTGGAAATTGGAAAAACTCGAAATTGTGTGAAAACCCAATTCCACACAATTTCTCGTTTTCCCAATTTCCACTCGTGTTGATATAACTGTATATCAACACGGAAAATGTTTTATAGTTAAATAGTGTCATCCCCGCTTTAGATCATATAATATAAAATTATTAAACGCAGACAACTTTAGTGATATGTAGTCATATAATTTATTAAATATTTCTGTCCAACAGGATAGTTTACAAGTGAAGCACATGCAACGTATTCCTCAGCTTGGCTTGCCTGAAGATCGTAAAAAGGATTCCGAAAAGCAAACTGAGCAAGTTAACGAGGTTAGTGACGTTTGGAATTGACAGTCTATGACTCTTAAAACGACGAAGAACAGAAAAAAACAGCTATTTTAAGTATGACGCCGCTTCCTCGGGTATATAGTTGGAGTAATAAATGCTTTTGCTTATATAGCTAACATTCAATATACAGTAACAAGCATGTATATGTTCCAGCACTATGCCATTTTACCATTGGCGGCATTGCCATTTTACACGCTTTTTCCCGATACAGCAATACAAAATCATATTTGTATTTCTCATTTGAATTTTTTTTTCAGTCCTTAACTAGAGCTCAAGTAGTGAAAGAAATAAAAGACCGTTCGTTTAAGACAGTAACGCAGGTACGTTTATACCTTCAGAGTTTCTAAAGACTCCTTTACACTTCCAATTTTTGCTGCGATTTCTATTGCGATTTTCTTCTGATGGATGTGAACGAGTGGATGAGCCATTAACGTTCTAAGTATGTGTACCCTCATCAAAGATTAGATACTATAAAGATGTGTCACTCTGCGAAAATTATGTCCGAGATTTTTTTATAGCCGCCATTTTGCCAGTAAGTGTCAAATTCAACGCCATCAGTCTCTTAAATAGTAACATCCAACGCCATCAGTCTCGCCGCCATTTTGGCAGTAAGTGAAAATTACGGACACGCAAACATTAAGGAAATACGTCGAGTGACACATCTTTATAGTAGAGACCTTAAGATTGACGTTTACGGCAAACGTCAAACCGCTAGCGAAGTTTTTGATTTTACAACTCTATTATTATAGCTTTTACACCAGTTTTGAAATATGTTAAACTTATTAAACTTGTGCTCTTTAGCAATGATTTAAGAAAGCAAATTAACCACTAGTCATGCCATTCACCAAAGCAGTAAATTACGATTTGGCGTTTGAAGTTGGCGTTTGGCGTATAAATTTCATGCTTGAACGACTACAAGCCCTCATAGCAGTTCAAGTATGAACTTTATACGCCAAACGTCAACTTCAAACGGCAGATCTTATTTTACTGCTTTGGTGAATACACGACTAGTGGTTAATTTGCTTTCTTAAATCATTCCTAAAGAGCACAAGTTTAATAAGTTCAACATATTTCAAAACTGGTGTAAAAGCTATTATAATTGAGTTGTAAAATAAAAAACTTCGCTAGCGGTTTGACGTTTGCCGTAAACGTCAATCTTAAGGTGTCTAATATCTAATCTTTACCCTCATCTGAACATTCATAGCTCATCCTTTCGTTCACATTCATTAAAAGAGGAAAATGGCACTAAAAATCGCAGCAAAAATTGCAAGTGTAAACCGGCCTGAAAACAACCATGTTTTGTGATTGGATTTCTTCTCAGTATTTGAGATTCCTTAGAAGATGTTTGATTATTATTGAGAAGTTATTTTCATGCCCAATTATCAACCATTACTATCCTTACTCAGACCTGCATTTCCCTACAAAATAGCGACAATATAGCTTTGTTATTATTCTAATAACCTACAGTATATTCTCTGCTAAGCCCCCTCTCGTGAAAAAAAATCTTTATGCCCTGCCGACACCTCCCCCCAATGGCAACGGAAGATTGGTTTGGTTGAGGGAGGGCTAGACAAATCTTGAGGGCCCCAGGGGCATGCTGCCCTGGAAAATTTTGAAATCTAGAGTTTTTGAAATGATGTTTCCTGCATCCACCATCCTTGGGAAGATTTGACGTGCAGAATCCAGGTCATTTTATTCATTTTCCACTTTGGGTTAAAAAATAATCTGACACTTTCATATTAGGTTCTCGCACTCACTTCTACTTTTGGGAGGCTATAGCCTGCCTATGTCTCCATCTCCTTCAAAACAAAGAAACCCTAGTGCCACACTGGAATGACTATATAAATCTTTTAGTTGTTTTGGAAGTTCATGTCAGTTTCCTATGTTCCATTTGCACATGTCAGTTTTGTCTTTCCCTGCTGCCACAGTAAGTAAATTATCAAGGTAGCACAATCAGGCATTACAAGAACACACAACTATATATAGTTAAACTGTTGGTATCACGATCAGGAGGCATCGACTGTACCGCATCTGTAAAGCTAAATCAATAATACTCCTCATTTTTCCCACCCTCTCCAAAAAGCAGTCTCTCAAACGTGCCTGACATGCAGAGGATTTACGGTATATATGTGCACGCTTTTTAGGTTTCGAAAGGCAAACGGCGTCATCAACCTATCCCTGAAAGTCCCAAGTCATCGGATTCGGAAAGAAAGTTAAGAAAAAGAGCACCAAAGAAAAAGAAGTGAGGGCAATTCGTATATATATAGTTGTATATTAACGACATATAATATTTTATATAAATTATTTATTCATGCATGTAGTACCTTAGTTTTTCGTAATAAAATCTGCTAAATATATCATGAGACCTGTGGTTCTGTTCTGGGTTAGAAAGAATTACTGTCGTTCCAATTGAAGTGTTGCTGAAATATTGATTCAATACATTACCTCGGGCTGACCAATTCATTTCATCAAGTTCCTCGAGATATTCATACACTTCCTAGTATAATTGTAAACTTCCTGTTGAATAGTTTGAATGCACCAATCACCTTTGGTTGTTTGTGCAACTAACCAATCATAAATAGAAAGGAAGTGACCAGAAATGATCAAATACTTGGAATTGGCTCTTTCACAGGAAGTGTATGAATATGTCGAGGAACTTGATCAAATGAATTGGTCAGCCCGAGGTAATGTATTGAATCAATATTTCAGCAACACTTCAATTGGAACGACAGTAAATAAAATATTGGTTTTCTTCATACAATTTAAATGTTATCTGTTTCATGCATTCAGAAAAGCCAATAATCGTTTAGAAAACCCATATTTTATCTTAAATTCAAATGGATTTAAAAAGTCAAACCGACACTAATACAGACATAACATTTTTTCTTTCATAGCTTGTCAATTTTCTGCTTGTATATGTTTACATTCGCTTCTTATAAAATGTTTTATTATAACGTTGACTAAGCTCTTTTTCAAATTCCATTAATTCGCGGTTATAGAGCTGTTTCATTTTCTCTCGTCGTATCTGAAATGGACAATGATAAAATGTCCTGTATATTGATGTATGAATAATCTAAATTTATAAGCTTTAAAACAAAATTTACCAAACAAAGTTGCTGATTTGCCAACGTCAACTCCTGCTGTTTTATTTTGTTGTCTCGGTTAACTCTTTTCCTCTACCAAATCTAAGAAAATGAGAAAAGGATGCAATTTTCTATAGTGCTACGAGGCATCTTGCAATGTTCATTGCACTCTTCTCCCAATGGCCTCGCTTTCATGCATGTGGTTATTTCCTCGTGTTTCAATAGGTTTAAGGATAGGTTTGTGATTGAGATCAAAGAGAAACATATTTGTATAGGTAATAAATAGTATGGTGTCGAGTGCAATTTGGAAAAAACATGCACGAGTGAGTTTTTCAAAGAGTGAGTTTTTTCAAGTCCGAAGAACAAGTGCAATTTGAAGTCTTTGAAAAACTCACGAGTGTATGTTTTTTTTTCAAATTGCACGAGAAACCATACGTGGGTAAGTCATATTTAGAAATTAAGAAAATTAAGAAATTTGGAAAATAAAAAAATTAAGAAAATTAAGAAATTTGTTCTGCATTTCATTTTTTTCACTGTATTTCATTTTTTGGCACTGTATTTCGAAAAAATTGCACTGCTCATGGCCAATCAGAATTGAGAAATTTTTTCATGTATGTATATTTAATGTGCACGAAACATGGAGGATATAACCTTCATGTGCACCAGGCAAACATGAAAACGAGGCCATTGGGGCAAGAGTGCAATAAATTAACCGTAAAGTATATTGCAACGAATGAGTAACTTGCCCTTTGATCGAAACGTCGAAGTTGTGCTTCTATTTTTCAGGTAGTTTTATATCCTTCAGACCGCAGCTTTCTTTATCGTCTCTACCTACTCTGGCATCGACCTTGTATTGCAGAGATGTCTCGTCCCTCGTCGCTTCAGTTGGGAATAGAGATCAGTGGAAGAACAATGGGAGCGCGAGGCTTAATGGGAATAAATACCCACACACTTGTGCATACCCTGCGGGGACATAGTCAATCGACATGGAAACTATCGGAAATCCAGCAAGCTATTTAAAGCTTATGCAATGAGCTAGGAATTTATGCTGAAATTACTTCACCGTGACACATTTTTTGAAATTTTGCTATTATTTCAACAGTATGGTTAAATGGTTCGATAAAATGATGCGATTATTTCTACATTAGCTCTACACAGTCGGTAAAATCCATTACGGACATCACACCAACTATAGTTGCTTCATTATACCAAAAAGCAAAATTCATTGCACGAAATTTCGGCACGCAACTTGCAGACCGCGCAGACAAATACAATAAAAAGGGACTGAAACTGACGTCTAATAACTCCATCTTTGCCTTCACTTTTTTGGATTCTAGTTCTTGCTCCAGATATATATTTATGAAGCTCACTGGGGGGGGGGGGGTAAACTACTAAACTAAAAGTATCGCCAAAAGTTTCCAAAACATATAGCAAAACATATAGCGTAAGGCTATATTGATGTTTGCTTCAATTAACAGCCAACAGCTTTCCATTAACACGGCCAGACCGGTCAAATTGTTGAATGGAACACAAAACGGTTGGGCTTCGGACCTATCTGACCGGAAAATTTGGATAAAATTAGAGTGAGGTCCGTTTTCGCTAGATATTTCAGAAACATAGACCAGATCTTTCCATTGTCATTGATGATACAGAGACAAAAATTCGGGTCTGACCGGTCAGGCCGTTAAATGGAAAGCGTCCTACAGGGCCCTCTTTTTTGCCATACCTGATCGAGTCTTTCATTCCATTTTTCTCTTTCCCTGATTGCGTGGTCACTGATATATAAATACAAATATAATATAATATAACCAGAAATAAAATACATCAACTCGATTTCGAGACATTTTTGTCAGGTGATCGTACATTGAATCTCGTACCACACAATTGTGAATGGCTGCCAAAAAATTTAATTGACGGCACAGCCACAGGCCGAGTACATATATAATTGTGATCACTTACTCGTACATAATTTAAACTCCGACTAATTATCACGTCTTACCTGGCGCACTTCACGCTCCATTCATGCTAGAATTTGAAGAAAAAATAGAAGTGGCTCGTCTTTGGCGGAACTAAACAGTACGACTCATGAGAAAATCAGAAAAGTGTATGTGTTTATAAATATGCTTTTATTTTCAATTTGCCAGATCAAAATGTAACTTGGGCCTGTTTTATACGTCGAATTTCGGTCGCGTCAAATGCAGTTAATACAATAAATGAAGCTTAATGAAGTTTATCCTGCCATTATCTATTGTCTTAATTGCATTCGACGCGACCAAAATTCGACGTAACGTATAAAAGAGAGCATCCATGTTTGCAGAGAGGGAGCATTCATGTTTGTAGTAGTTATGTATGCATATAACAAAATACTGCGTCTGCAGCCAAGACCCGATACTTTCTTTTTATAACATGCATGTTGGGAATGGCATAGTGCGCGGAGAATAAATTTCCATAGTTATTTCACGCACTTTTGAGGACAATAATTTCTAAATTGGCGAAATTTAGGATCTTGAAACACAATCATTATAAATATTCGTTCACATACCTGTTGTAGATCTTGATTGGAAAACGTTCTCGTACTTGGTCGTGATCTCATCACCTCGTACCGATATCCTGTTGCCTCCAATGACATATTTCTGTCTGTGTTTACGTGCTACGTGTAATTTATCCTTTATTTCTTACTACGAGATGTCTTAGTATATTTGCGAATTTCTCAGTTACTATAACAACCAGTACTGCAAACCAAGAACAGGTGGAACACCTGTTTCGAAATGTTGGTTTACGAACAGACTGAACACATCTGGCTAATACGAGTACTTTGCCTGGACAGCTTATTCCCAAGACCTTCAAGGTGGCATGAAGCGAATTTTTACTGTCCCATTTGAGGAACCGTCCAAACTGCAAAGTATGAATTAAACAATGGGGGGTTCCTTCTATACGATAGCGTACATCAACCGATGTGAACTCGCATACAAAAGGGTTAATGTCAATACTCCACAGTACAGTAGATTGAAGACAAACTTCTAAGTTCATAGGAGCTATAGAAACACTACTGTATAGACACTCTAAATTTCATTTGTTCTCAATTGGCGGCAGAAAAGAACTGCTTAACTTAGAAATACACGTACAAACACACACATAGATATATATTGCAAGTGAAATCATGGGTCCAAAGCAAAAATAGGTAGGAACAGGAATTTTATCTGAAATATTCTTACATGTAAAAGAACATTTTTAGCATCGACTAACGCTCCACTACCCACCCCCCTCCCCGGCTTTAATTCTTGGGCATTCCTTCTGGAACCATCGTCAGGGCTGAATGTATAAATTTCACAAGGGGCGATCAATATAATCCACGTGTAGTAAAGCCCGCATGATTTCCATTTGGCCGTAATTGTCGCGACAACCAAGTCATGTTCGACGATGCGCTGGATCTACCTCGTCCTTTGTGTGCTGAATGCAAAATTCCAAGTGCATGAACCACTGTCAGATCCAATTCGATGGCAATTCAAATAGTACTCAATTGACCATTTGCGTAATAGATTAAATTTTGATCTAAACAAGTCTAGACAAAAATTTCATCACAACTTGAAAGAGAATCACAAAATTAGTAATATTCCAAAGTTTCGTTGTGAAATGTTGTAAAATGCGGATAATATAGCCTTGCGAACTTTGCAATTTTCAGTCATTTTAGATTACAAACGGGAAATTGACAGCCCCAAGGGGTATTGGGCTGTCAATTTCCCGTTTGTAATCTAAAATGACTGAACATTGCAAACTTCGCAAGGCTATATTATCCGCATTTTACAACATTTCACAACGAAACTTTGGAATATTACTAATTTTGTGATGCTCTTTCAAGCTGTGATGAAATTTATGTCTAGATCAAAATTTAGTCTATAATGCAAGTGGTCAATTCCGGTGCAGCGCTCTAACCAACCAAGCTACAGAGTCCAGTTGTCAAGCTCTAACTGCAAGTTCATATATATGTACTAATGTGATGCCAGTGTATGAGTAAATATCAGGAGTTTGGGCATCTCACTCGATAGAATTACAGGAATTAAGTGTTGAAGGGTTTTGTAGATGAAATTTTCAAGTATAAATTTGTTATATCACAATGGCATCATTTTACCAAAATAAGGTCATGAAGAACACAAAAAATCTGAGAGTGGATTACATAGTAAAAAGCAATATAGCTGTCGCCTAAACTGATTGGGGAGGCTCAAAAATGTTTTTCTGTACAGTACAAACACCAGTAAAATTAAGGTTCAAAAAATTTTACTGTACAAATACCTATAAAATCACAAGTAACACACATTTTTTCGGACCAATATCAGTAAAATTAAGGTCTAAAAAATTCTCATATCATTGCCTATATAAAAAACCTTCCAAATAATTTTTTTTAATTCCACCTTTTGGGGCTCCCCTTTTGT